AAGAATACAAAATTTATGTGAAAACCCAATTAGGAAGAAAAACCATGGGTAGGGGAAGAGAAATTCACTATAACAAATATGAAGGATTACAAAGTATGTAGGATGATTAATCTAAGAGGTTTACTCCTCGTATATATAATATAAAGAAGAATCTAACATATAGTGGAGTCCTAATATAACATGTCTAACAAATAATGGAGTGTCTGAGGTTAAATAAGAGTGTAAAAACTGCCAAAATTGCGAACAAATTTCACCCAAATAAAACCACCGTTGGAGCGGCGGCCTCGCGTTCAGTGAGCTGTAGCACGATCGCTTGAGCGATCACCTAATGGTTAGAGAACGGTAAAGGTAGTGCAACTTTCGCTCGAGCAGTTGATTGGCAACCAACGAGCAATCTTCACGAGAATAAAACTCTTTGCCCGTCTTTGACTTTTTCAAGGTATACTATCAATTCCCAATAAAATTCAGGTCACAATCGAACTCTAACAATGTACTTTATATTAACTTTTTCCTTACATAATACTATCTATTATAATATAATTCAACTCAAAAAATGTCGTGAAGGCATATTTAGTCGATATAAAACAGAATACGATTGAGTAAGAGAAACACATGACACACTTTATCACTTATTTGTCCAATCCTTTCGGTCCAATATAGCGATTTGTATACAAGGATGGATTCTGGTTCGAACTAAAAAAAAAATTAAACTAAGCTAATATGTATATTTAAAACAAAAAATTACCCATAGAAAAATGAAATGGGCTGGGAGAGGATTGCGCTGTCCCCCCTAAGTACGCCACTAATTGTATGTATGAAATGGTGTAGTAAATAGACTAAACAATATAAGAAAAGCATTGTCGATTATTTTGTGAATCGACATTCATGTCCAATTTATCGATTCTATAGTACCAACATGACACAATTTTATACCAAAAATACAGCTATGTGATTGAGGTCTTGGTCGGGGAGCCTTTTAGTACCACCATAATCTTGCATGAAACAATTTTAATAGAAAATTAATAAGAGTTCAGCTTCAGGGCTTGAATTTCTGAATCATTAATGATTCGTTTTGGAATATAATAATAATTAATAAAAAATTCATCTTCTAACATCAATTGCCTTTTATTAAAATCAACAAATAGGAATCATATTGTCTTACAGATTTCGAATCTAACCTTCAACATAACCAAGAACAATTATTTGATTTGATGTGAGTACCCACTTTGATAATAAGTTAGGTCATCCATCTCAATCGTTGCCCACCCTAATCCCTAGTTGCTAACATATCAATTTATTGTGATAGTTTGATTTTGGATAATTCTATTATAAACTCACATTGAATTATTGAAGTTGTAAAAAAAATAAACAATTGTTATTCATCTTATACTTTAACATGATATTAAAGTTATATAAATGGAGTAAATTTAATCTGTGACCATTCAACTTTTTGTCGAGTTTTAAATGAGTCACTGAATTTTAATTTAATCTCAAATTTTAGCACTATGTCATTTCTTGTCTCTCAGTTTGATAATAATTGGCGTTGACACTGCGATGAAACTTTCAAATAATCGTTTCGTGACATGTCAATTTATTAACACATTAGTTCATAAAAGCAATACATTTTGGTTTAGTGTCCCAATTGATATTGTGTTGAAAGTTCAAATTTGCCCTAAATAAAAGTCGTCAATCAAGTTGAAATGGAACCCAATCAAGAAAATTTCAAGTCACAAAAGTTGGGTAATAAAAACACATGTTTTGTAGGCAAGAGAGCACACTAAACATGTGAAAATAAACGGTGTTGACATCGGGTGAAATGTTGTCTAATACTCTAATCTCGACAGAACCAGCAGGACGATGAAGGCAACAAATGAAGCCGTTAGTTTCGGAATGACTTGAAATTCCAGCAAGATCACAGCCTTAACTTTGACTGGATAAATTCTGCTTTTGACACAATTAGCTGGCTAAGTACTAACTAGACTAGGCATATTAGGTTTAAATAAAAAAAAATGTAATAAATAATAAATTGACAGCTGGAAACTAGACGAGGACAATTAGGTAATTTTACTTGCATACGAGAGATTCCTTTATTCCTGACCCAACCTCCAAAGAAAAAGAAAAAGACTGCACTGACAATCAATATATAAACGAACATCTCTCTCAAAATTGGAAATTATACACTGCTTCACAACTACAGCATTCTCTATAGACCTGCAGAATCTTGACCCTTTATCTTCTTCATGTCACGATATTGTTAAGAAAGTAGGTTGTGTACATAACGTAACTATTACTTGTTGCGAAAGTCCACGATCTGTTGTGTGTTGGAGTTAGCTCAGTTTCTTTCATTTTGACGATTTCATATAGTAAGACTAATGCAAACTCTACGAATTTTGTAAACAAGAATCATGGTGAAAGTAGAAAGTGTTGAACAATAAAAATCGAAGCACAAAAAGGTAAAGAATTACCGGTACAAGAGAAACATGACAAGATGTCAAAGCTTTGTGTCACAATTTCCTTTATTCTCGAATGTTCAAGTTGAACATTGCACTCGAATTTCATTTATTACCAATTCATGATTCTCTTGCTTCAAGTTATACACTTCTAGTTTAAAGTGATAAAAAATCATTTAGCCCATATTTTACCCTTTATTTCTTAAAACTCTTTTTTTTTTTAAACTCATTTTCAACCATACATTTTTAAGGAACTCACAATTTTTATCAACTTTTCAATCACACATTTCGTTCATCTTTTTCAAAATTTACTTAAAAGTTTAATTTTTATTTAAACCAAACAGAGACTTAATGAGACTAGGGCATTTTGCAACCTTCACTTTTTAAATCCGAAACATACTAGGATGGTTAAGGAGAAAAAAAAAATTCATTAAACGTTAATTTTGAGTGTTTATAATAAGAAATGAATAAAATATATTGGTGGTGGCAGAAATAGAAGAGTAGAGAGATGATGGAGAGTGGTGGAGGGCAAGTCAAGTGCATAATGGAGGTTCAAAAGACTTGTTAGGTTTGTTGGCACTGAACAAAATGAGTGTGTAACAGCAAAGAGAGGTCAGTTAGAATGGTTGGCAAATGTGTCAGTAAAAAAAAAAAAGGTAGAATTCAAGCAATCTTGGCCTTCAAGAGAAGAACCTCTCCACTCCATAATGAAAAAAAAATAATAATAATAATATATATATAGCTTCTTTTCGACAAATTTATAAAAAGGGAATTTCACACGATGTGAATAATAAGTAGTTTCCGTGTTGCTTGTCGTATTCAAGATCAATGCCAGCCCATAATAGTTGTTTAACATCTGATTCGTGTAAAATTGATCGAATGAATAGTAAGAATATTCTAACTCACAACTTTCGTCCGATTTAATATCAGTTGAAACATCACATCTAAAATTACATATTTATATGTAGTCATCCAGCAAAGAAGATTAAAAAAGCTTATTATGTTAAAATGTGTGGTTGAGTGGGAAAGGAAATTACAAGGAGTAAAGTGTGAGGGAGAAAATGAAAGATTAGGTTCTGTAATAATTTAACCTGCAAGAGCAGTTGGCAGTAGTTAGTCTGTCTTTTGAAAAAAGATAAGTTACATACTTTTTAAAAAAAATAATAATAAAATTCTCTAAAATTTCTAATTATATATTTTCATGAAATAATTTTATATTTGAATTTATTCATTTTTTAAAATTATAAATTTCATAAAATTTATTTTAAACAAATCTACGTTAAGTCTCTTGTCACATTAAAATTTTCATTTTCATTTTTTTTAATTCATTTTTAATTACACATTTTTTAATAAAATAATATTTTTCATCACATCAATAATTTTTTCTTCTATTTTAACTACACATTCTCCGTCAATCTACTATTCCAAAATACATTTTTTCAAAATAATATGGTTCAAACACACTCTCTAAAAGACATCTAAATCATAGATGTCACCTGGTAACTTGAGCAGGTAAAAGGAAAATATTTTTTTGTGCTCTCTCTCTCTCTCCTTTCCATCTCTAAGCTGTTATTCATATAGTTGTGTATATATATTGTCTCTGATCTATGATAAAGAAAGGAACTTGATGCTTACTTTGCTGTTTCTGCAAGAACCCACAGTTGGCAAAAATTGATCTTTCTTGTGAATTTAAGCAAGCATTTGATGCTCTTTAAGGGTACTATCCTATGCCCATTATAGGTTTACAGTGTACTATTGCCCTCAGACTGTTCATAATATTCTGTTTTCCCTCTGCAATTTCAGTAGAATTATGTGCTTTTTGGTCAATTCTAGCTACCCATACTGAGAATATCTCTAAAGTCCCTAAAACTGTGATTCTTGTGGGGTTGTTGAGTTTGCAATTCGAAGCTTTTTCTGTTGAGCAGCTGGTATTTTTTGCCAAAATAAGACCTTGTTCAGTTGTTTGGCACCATTTTTCTTTCAGTTGTTAAATGCTTACTTTCTTTGTATTATAATTACGTGCTTAATTTTGTTGATTATAATTTACTGTGGAAATTCATAGATAAAAGAGGGGGAAAAAAAGGGAATCTGCTTTTTTTTTTCATTAGTTCGGTGAGCTGTTGCTTATCAATTCCCTTTCAATTTTCCACTGTCTACTTTAAGCTCTGAAAGATTCATACTTTTTTCCATATGAAATAGACGTCGTCCTAGGGTTCTTGAAATGGGAGTTTAAGTAGATTTTATGCTTAGTATATTGGATTTTTCACCTTTTCCTTTGTGCCCTGTAAGATGCTGCAATAAGGGGTTTCTTTTGCTTTTCTTTAACTTACATTCTCAATTCTGTAAAGCTGCCAAGATTATTTGTTCCTTGTTGAGTGTCGCAAGATATTACCAGCTATTTTTTTGTCAAACCCTCACTTTTCCGTTTAGTTATATAGTTCCTTCTGTTATACAATTCTATCAGGTTCTGGTTCTAGTTTTTCTATTGAATTTGGTGGTGAATTGAAGTTGGGTTGAATTAGTTCTAAAATTCTTGGGATTTTCTTGATCATGGATAGTGAGGATAATGTGGATAGGAGATTCCAGCAGAGGAAAGGGGATAGTATTCTGAATTGCCCTTCTTCTGGGATTGTTACGAATTTGATATACGAAAAGGTTCAGGGAACGGGAATGAGTTCAGAATCCATGTTCAAGTTGAGAAATGGGGTAGACCCTTTTTATGGTTCGGGTTGGGATACCATTGTTTCATTGAATCCGAGTGGGAATTTCAGAGGTCCTTCGGTTGTCCCTCCAAATGAGTTTCCCCATTCAAATTATTCTGTTGTGCTGGAAAATCAAACCGTTAATTTCCCATCTGAGTCGGGTTTAGTCGATATGATGCCAAAGATTCCGAGTTTTGGAAGTGGAAGCTACTCAGAAATAGTCAGTTCTTTCCCGATGCCCGAATGTGGCCCAATTACTGAAACGATACGGCATCCAAATTATGCTCAAAACGAAGTTAGCGGAGTTGAGATGGCCTTAAAGAACGTTTCAGATTCTCAGGAGCATTGCCAAAATTCAGAAGATGGAGTTGTGGGAGTTTCACCTAATGGAAAGAGGAAAAGAAAAGCATCAATGGGAGCTTCACCTAAGGTAACTTATAAAAATAATTTTTAGATTACTGTTGTATTACAGAAGTTTTATGGTGATAGATAGTAGTGGACAGTATTAAGGAAAATCGTGTTCATCATATTGTGGAGTCGCAGTCAGTACTACAAACCAAACTTACATTCAATGTCTTATGACCTTTTGCCGTTTGGTTTGTTATGTGTCTCAGAATATTGAAGTTGAACACCAGAAGGATCCACCCAAGGACATCTCTGAATTCCCAAATGAAGATGATGATAAGAAACAGAAATTTGAACAAAATGTTGGTACAAATTTGCGCAATAAGCAAGCGGTTAAACAAGCAAAGGATAATTCTACTACTGCAGAACCTTCTAAAGAAAATTACATACATGTAAGAGCCAAAAGGGGACAGGCAACAAATAGTCATAGCCTTGCAGAAAGGGTAATAAACTCCTCCTTTTAAACCTATAATTTTCCTGAAAATCTCTTCTTGTTTTTGGAGAATATGACTGAAGTCTATTTTGTTTTCAGGTGAGAAGAGAGAGGATTAGTGAAAGAATGAGATTGCTGCAAGAATTGGTTCCTGGCTGCAACAAGGTATCTGGCTTTTTTAGGTAAAATTTTTAGTATATATATGTGGCCGATTATTGATACTGAGTCTTCGTAATTTCAATTTTGAAGATCACTGGGAAAGCGGTGATGCTTGATGAGATTATAAACTATGTGCAATCTCTGCAACAGCAGGTTGAGGTATGCGTATTTGAGTTTTGGCAAATTATATGTTTGCTGGTACAAGAAGATTAGTTTTATTGATTTGAAATTGTAATTATCATGGCACTTAAATAAAATTAGATGAGAAATGTCCTCCATATTCTGAAATATTTGTTAGCAAGCCCTGAGCAATAAAAACAGAATAAATAAAAAACAAGAAAAGCCAACATGCAACTTTATAGTGGCTTGCCCTTAACGTGTGATTTTCCTACACTTGCTGCTGCAATTTTTCGCCATGATAGAGAAAAAAGATACTAGGAATCACACCTCTCTCACACCAAAATTGGACCCTTAAAGATCTGCAATCAAGAAAATAAATGTAGAGTATATTAAGCTCCTTAGAGTCCAACGTTGCTTTTCCTTATCATATCTAAATGAGTTGGTCAATGTGCATCTGTTGCCAAGAGTTTTCTTAGAAATGTTATAAAAAGTCTTAGTCATGGGTGAGAAACTATTCACAAACTAGGTGCATCTGGAGCTTCTTGAGAAGTCTTAAAAAAATTCAAGTTTTTTAATATTATGCAGATTGTTTGGAAGGTTTGAAGTTATTGTTTGTAGCAGCACATGAATGGTTTTTCATTTCTGATATGCTAATACAATTTACTTCAATTATGTATCATTATTGTTCTTTATCATCTTGTAAATTATGATCTATTAATGATGCCTTAACTTTCTCGTTGCAGTTTTTGTCAATGAAACTTGCAACTGTAAATCCAGAATTGGACGCAGATATAGATCGGATTTTATCCAAAGATGTGAGATAAGATCCATTCATTTTGCATTACTTCTTTGACACGTGACAAGAAATGCAGATTATCTTACAATTTCATGTGTTTTAGATACCTCAATTTCGAGGGAACAATCCAGCTGCTCTCGGAATTAGTTCTGGATTGAGTTCGTCTCATCCTTTCCAGGGATTTTCCCCAGGAACTTTTGGTGTCCCAGGTGCTAATCCTCCATATCATCCCTTACCTCAGGTAACAAAAAGATCTCTCGGCTTACTTGTTATGGCTACTCCATTAACAAGTAACAATATAATGCATATATATTCTGCAGGCTTTGTGGAACAATGATCTTCAAAGTATTCTCCAAATGGGATTTGATGCTAATCCCCCGGCCAGCAATTTGGGACCAAATGGTAATTGCCTCGAGCTATTGTGATTTCACGACATGTTGGTCCAATATTCGTGTCAAGTCATTACCTTCCCGTTTTTGTATGCTCACTATTTGATCATATTGTTAGGACTGTCGAAAATGGAGCTATAGATTTTGTTGGAAGCTTAAAGTTATTGTTTCGGCTAACAGAAAATTCAAATATCCCTACATCGAGTGGAAATTTCGTTCCAAAGTAAACAGTAAATGACGCTTCTCTTTTTTTTCTGGTGCTGTATAGGTTCCTAGTTCCTAACTTTCTGTTCTTCGAATTTTAGCAGAAGAAAATGACTTTAATTTATGAAGCCATGTAAATTTTGAGCTTGTCTTTGATTTCTGAAGGTGATTATTTTCATTGATGCTTTATAGAGTAAAAATCGTGGTAGCTTTATGAAAATATTGGAGAAGCAAATCGAAAGATCTTATTTTTCATGTATAGTATAGAAAACGAGAGTGTTGGTACAAATGTTATATCTTATGCTGTTTTAGCCTGATTTGATCATTTGAAAGGTTTGTGAATATTATGTAATAATGATTAACATTTTAATTGTCAGATTGGCCTAGTTATTAAGCAACTGCATAAATAATTATTTTTTTTTTTTTTAACTTTTAAGTAAACAAAGAAATTCTTATCGGAATACTTTTGAAAACAAAAATTTACTTGAATATAATTTAAAGGCTAATTGGCACATTACCTCCACCTTTGAAACCTATTGTGCAAATATTCCCCACCTTTTGGAATTGGCGGAAAACATCCTTGGATGAAAGTCGGAATATTGCCGTCCACTACAGTCAATTTTGTCGTTAATTCCAGATAAATGGGGCCAAAATAGAAAAATTAAAAAGGGCAAATCCGTCTTTCTTTCTTCTCCTCTTTAATCTTGTTCTGCCTCTGCAATTCTAGGAAAAAGAGATCGCGGATTTGCCTTCAACAGTGTTCTTCCTCAACTCCAACCCTAACAGTGTCATGGATTATAGCCTGACAAGTTGCAACAGAACCAGCTCGTTAAAAAGCCTTGGCCTCTTTCATCCATGCTTCTCTGTCAATTTTTAAACCCTCTCTGTAAAGCTCTAATACTCCTTTCTATGATATTCCCAACCATGATAGTATGCCCATTAGCTTCTTCCAACTTTGCAGTAGAAATACAAATAGCTGGTTTTTTAGGAAGCTCCTCTGTTGCTTTGTTGAGCACCTTCTTTGTATTTTCATGTTTCCAACTGAAAGTTAGTAGTTTACTAAGTAAGTTCGATCTTACGTGCGGAATTATTTTATTAAAAGCAACAAGTCACTTTTTAACAGTTTCTAGATAATTAAGCATACAATTCAATTATCCTATATTTGAATACCGCGGTTTGTAATATGGAAAGCAATAAAGAATGAATACCAAAATGATGATGAAGAAACCCAATTGGGTAAAAACTCCGGGACCAAGCCAGTTACCTCCACTATAAACAATATGGATTACAGTCTGTTTCCAGCCTAGCAAATTCCACTAGTTCCTGCTGTTGTAATTCATGTAATCTCCCAGATCTGTTGTTCCTCCAGACTCACAATCTGCTATCGTAGATACTATCTAACCAACCGCTAGATCTCCCGATCTACCTCCTGTAGCTTCCAAGATCTACTGTGAATTACAGACTCCCGATCTTCTTCAATTGTCTCTTCCAAGTGAATATCCAAGAATCAAGTGTTCATGTTCTTCTTCCTGCGCTTGTAGTCCAACCTCCAGAAACTTCTGAAGTCCAACTGAAAAAGTACCCTTCCTCAAAGTATTAAGGAAGTCAGGTGTTTTGAATTCTTCAATTTAATGATTTCCTAAAACTTGGTTGCCGGATCTCAAGAATGATATGAATAATTCACCAATGAATTGTGTTCTTGGATCTCTCAAAAGATGATGTGAATGTGTTATGTAATGTAAGCACAATGAAGTAAACGACAATTTTCGTCCCAGACATCTATATTTATAGGTGGGGATGTTTAGGTATTATGGGCCATATAAAACTCTTCAAAAACGCGAATTAGGTCGACCGCATAAATATGTCGCTCGAGCGACAGAAAGGCGAAAGGCGGGCGACACAGTTTCTGTTTCTGACGTTCGAGCCAAGTCTGGGCGACAGTCTAGCGAAATTTTGACATCGCGTTTTCCTTTTTTTCAACCTCTAATCCTAACTTAACTCATCTATACAAAATTACATATAAGTCCTTGACTTTTTACAAGTGTTCAATTAAGACTCTTTTGTTCACAAACATGCCAATTACAACATTGGATATAACAATCTCCCCCTTTGACATTTTGTGGCAAAACCATATAAAGTCAAGGAAATAAAATAAACTCCCCAAACTATACTACCTAAGTTTTTCAAGTTCTTCTGCTTCTTATATTTCTTGGTGTACATGTTATCCTGAAATCAAAAACTCAATACTTAGTGTACAAGTACGTGATACAGGAAACCAAAAACTCATGAACACAAATAAGCATGCTAGTTTGAGACGTGACATTAATGTCAATCAAAACACCAACTGAAATATTAACATCACAAAACATCAAAACTTAAACAGCTATGCATATGATATGCAATGCACATTCACCCCCTTACTGCAACCTCTCAATATTTTTTTATGTATTAGGTAAACGTGTCTATGTCTTTCCCCCAACAACCCCTCAACATAAAATGTAGATGCAAATCAAATCTCATTTTCATTAAAATGTAGATGATAACATGCACAAGCACAATTAACAAGTAGTAAACCTCTCCACATACTCAATTTAAGTCAGAATGGAGTAAATTGTATAAGTGATTCATGTGTGTAAAGTGTTACTAATCCTCTATAAGCAGGACTCCAAATCTTAATTTTGTGAGAAAGGACATGCTAAACATCACTGCCAATAAGTATATTCCTCTACTTATAAAAGGCAAACCATTTAAAGCACATTAGAACCTTTAAATAAAAGCTCATTTTGTATTGATATTTTCTTTTCTCCCCCTAACTTTTTGCATATTTATTTTCCATATTTTTCAATATTTTAAGCTCATAATTATTTTTCACATCTTAAGTGCAGCCTCTTCTTCATTAAGCGACTAAAATGACCTCTGTAACAAGTTTTAGGTCGATTAACCCAAGTCAGTTGACCATAGGTACCAGTTATGAAAAACTCCGCATGATTAATTACTCAAGTCAAATAGGCTCCGAAAAAAACATAAGATATTGAGCTTTTTATATTACTGGGGATAAATTTGAGTTTGGGTCTAATAAATAAGGTCAATTCATGTTCAAAGTCAACTTACGAACAAGTGACTGCCATCCCAAATCTCACACATGCGGTTAAGTCCCATTTACAATATCATAGTGTGTACAGTGCAAATGGTACATGAAGACACCTATACTAATTACTCTATATCAACCTAAGCCAGCAATGGAAACTATGTTACAGCTTATCAATTATGTCCATACATGATCACAACATGCAAGTTTAAGAATGTCATATATTATGTTGTAATAAAAATGTCCATCATGTTTTTTTCAATTTTCAATTTTTTTTTCTTTTAAAGCATAAATGCATCGAACACAAAAAAAAAAAAAAAAGTCAAACAAAGAAAAATATATAAAACAAAATGCATGAGTTTTCTACATAGAAAAAACAAATAAATATGGTGCATACATAAATCAATGTCTCGTAATGATAAAGCACGAGCATGCACCAAAAATATATAATCAGTTACGTATGCAAATGCTCTTACTTTGAAGAGCCCCGTGATCTATTTCACAATTTTTTAGATCACTTTTTGTTACCCAAACTTGCCTAGTGATAGGAATATTTCAGGTCATCTGTGTCATTAACTTGATCAATTTAGTTACCTGACTAGTAAGGAAATCAATCTGACCAACAAACTTCCGATTCTTATTTCTATTTAAGTTATCGTTTCTATTTCCGTTCAGAAAATGATGACACCTCGACTTTATGTGTCCTAACTCACCGCAGTGAAAACATGTATGGATAAACCTAGGACCAATGTTATGAGGACGTTGACATCTATTCCTAGGTTGACGGGTTCTACGCTGTCTAGTAGGCCTCTGTCTAACAAACCCTTAAGATCGGGGTTAGGTACATGTTTAGGCTGGTCAGTAGCAGGGACAAACGTGGTCTTAGAAGTACTAGCACTATTTTCCTTAAAATCTAAACCTCCCTTATTTCCAACCGGCTTGCCCATTCTTAAAATATTTTCTAACTTTTCAGAACCATAGAGAAGGCAAGCAATTTAGACTTAGAATATTCTAGATCGCTCAGAAAGTTTTTAACATGTATGTCTAAGGTCTCTTTCTTAGTGGTCAACTCGCTGACTCTCCTAGAGGACTTCTCAAGCTCACTGGTGAAGTTCTTAACTTGAGTCTCTAAAGTTTCATTCATGGATTTCACTTCACTCAGGATCAAGGTAGACTCCTTAATGTGCGCCACAGTTCAAGTTCCTTAATCTTCGTACTCAAGACTTTGTTTTTAGTAAGAATTTTAAGACTCTCCTCATACATCTTATCATAAGCCTCTTGGATATCTTCCTCACTCACACTCTTTATCAAAATTCTCATCACTTTCTAAGTCCTCTTCTCTTTCACTCCACTGGTTAGATCCATTCTTAATTCTCGTAATAAAAGCAATATATTTTCCACTTTCCTCACGAATGGATTTCTCACTCTGATTGTCCAAGTTAGACTCATCATCAGTGAGAATAGCATTCATAGCCTTATCCAAATTTCTCCTACTGCTAGGGCACTCACTCCTAACATGACCATAACCTCGACAGTTATGACATCTCACAGATTGAGATCGCCTTCTAGACTCACTGGAATCACCTCCAAAAACTTCTGAAGTCCAATTGAGAAAGCACATTCCTCAAAGTATTAAGGAAGTCAGGTGTTTCGGATTCTTCAATTTGATGCTTTGCCAATACTTGGCTGCCGGATCTCAAGAATTATATGAATGATTCACCAATGAATTGTGTTCTTGGATCTCTCAAAAGATGATGTGAATGTGTTATGTAATGTAAGCACAATGAAGCAACGGACAATTTTCGTCCCAGACATCTGTATTTATAGTTGGGAAAACTTAGGTGTTATG